AGTAGAGACGGGGTTTCACCATGTTGACCAGGATGGTCTCGATCTCTTGACCTCGTGATCCACCCGCCTCGGCCTCCCACAGTGCTGGGATTACAGGCTTGAGCCACCGCGCCCGGCCTAGCTTGTGTCTTACAAAAAGCAGATTAAAGTAAGAATTTTTTTTTCTGAGATAGAGTCTAGCTCTGTCACCAGGCTGGAGTGCAATGGCACAATCTGGGCTCACTGCAACCTCTGCCTCTTGGGTTCAAGCGATTCTCCTGCCTCAGCCTCCTGAGTAGCTGGGACTACAGGTGCCCGCCACCACACCCGGCTAAGTATGTCCTCAGAACAAGTCCTGGAGGATTTCAAGAGGGACTCAGCGATTTGGGCAAGTGATTGCTTACTCCACATGCGAGGACATTTTCCTGGAGAGATGTCCTCAGAACAAGTCCTGGAGGTTTTCCACAGGGACTCAGCAATTTCAGCAAGTGTTCCCACAGAGGATCCACTGAAGGAACTTCCCAAGGAGGCCCCATGTCATGTGAAGGAGGCCTGGGGAGTCCAGGAAAGCGACTGCTTACTTAGCCTCCTGGAGAGAAGAAATGACACCTGGCAAGTTCAAGGAGGATGAGGATGCTGAAGAGCCTCACCTGACCTGTTGTGACCTTTGTTTGTCATGCTGCAAATCCCTAGAGATTTTTCAAACATCTGGAAGGGCCGAGACACAAGACCTCACCCTGGCCCAGCCACCATCTGCATCGTGAGAGTTTTGGGGATTGTGCTACACTCTCTGGACTTTTATATTCTCTCGTTTAATTTTTTAAAAAATATTCTTACTTTAGGCCTGGCGTGGTGGCTCACGCCTATAATCCCAGGACTTTGGGAGGCCAAGGCGGGCATATCGTTAGGTGAAGAGATTGAGATCATTCTAGCCAACATGGTGAAACTCTAATTAAACTCTTAAAAAAATTTTTTTTTTGGTAGATAGGGGGTCTTACCATGTTGCCCAGGCTGATCTCAAATTTCTGGCCTCAAGAAATCCTCCCACCTCAGCCTCCCAAAATGGAGTTATAGGCATGAGCCATAGTGCCCAACCCAGTCATTAAATACTACTGTATAAATTACCTTATCCAAATTAAGATCACCAAGTAAATGCATCTCAAGCTGAATAATTTATTTGATTAGATTTTAATAAGCTCAGTTTTTGTTCTGAATTGTACTGAATTGTTCCCACCTCATTTTTGTCTGTCTGAAAACAGTCTCACTCTGTCACCCAGACTGGAGTGCAATGGCATGATCATAGCTCACTGCACCCTTGAACTCCTGGGCTCAAGCGATCCTCCTGCCTCAGCCTCCCAAGTAGGTAGGACTACAAGCACATACTACCATCCCTGGCTAATTTTTAAAATTTTCTTGTAGAGACAGGGCCTGTGTTGTCCAAGCTGGTCTCCAGCGGTTCTCCTGCCTCAGCCTTCCAAAGTGCTGGGATTATAGACATGAGCCATTGCACTCAGCCTCATTTTGTTTTTATATTAAAATGGAAACCAACCTCATGAATTACCATACCAAAGCTCCTTTGAATATAGCCCTGTAGAATGTAGAGTAGAATGTTAGTGTTGGCTGCCATTATTCAGGAGTACCTTAAGCTTATCTTCCTTCTTCACAGCAAAGGTATTCTTTTAAGCCCAAGGAACCCCTGGGTTGCTTATGAGTGGGTTCCAGCTCTCATATAGAACTTACGAAGTGAACAGCTCCTCTTCCTATTTCCTTCTCCTACTTGAGCCTTCAGCCTATCCTTTGGCTGATGATTACTTAAGAGATTTCATTTCCACCATTTGTTTTCCCTGTAAGTTAGAGATTCCTCTATCACTGACTGGTGAGTAGGTAACTACACAAACAATAGTTTGGCTTATAGACTCAAGATATTTGATAGCCAGAGTTGAAATGCCAGCCTTATGACGTGGCTAAAGTGCTGTCCCAAGGCCACACTGAGATCTATTAGTCAATGTGTGTGTTTTCTTTGGAAGTAGATAACCCTTCATTCACCCCTGTAGTACATTCTCCATCCTCCACTCTTAAGCATTTTTTTCTTAGAATGAATTATTTTTTCTCTAATTCAACTGTAACCTATTCTAGATTTGCTTTCAATCTTTTACAGTTACTAAACCAAGGAGATTTAACTGAAAGACGGACATGAGCACGGGTGCTGACTCCTGGAAGAGCAGCTCTATCTGATCTCAAAACGCATACACTGGGAACAGGATGCCATAGCTCACAACAGAACCAGAATGAATCTTTGAAGGACAGGACTCTGCTTTTGCCACTCTTCCTCTTTCCTGGTACAGAAGATGGATGTAGGAGAGCTTCTTTTCTAACTGCCATCTTACCCAGACAAGGAATGAAGCAATGACTGTGGGCTAGGAAACTGTACCTACCTCTCTTCCCACTGCAAAATTCTGGGATAGACCAAAAGTGAATTTGATTATGTGTTGGCTGAAGTTCCTCACTATGACTGTTGAGGGGAGGTTTTCCTTTGAAGAGTTTTCATCCCAGACTCAGCTGTCTTTTCACATGGATGAAATAATTCCTGCCACCAACAACAGAGCTTTACCAGGAAGTTGAGCTTTCATGATGCCTTGTTGCTTTGAAGAAGGGAGTGATGTCAATTATCTTGTTACATTCTCCCTTTAGCAACCTGAGTAAGAGACTCTGCCACTGGGCTGCAAAAAAAATTAATTACTTGAATCTCCCCTTGGCCCAGGCTGAGGTACTATCTTGTCCTATACCTTCTACTTGGTCACTTTGCTTTCTTTGTTAATGGAACATACAGTAGCATGTTAAGAGGGATTTCATGTTTTTGTTTTTTTAAAGTTAAAAATTAGATGATGCAGAGATTCAGTTTTTCCTTTAAATAAACAAAACAGCCCAGTCAGTTCTTTGGCTCTTGTTTTACACAAAATTTGTTTTCTTAAAGATTAGGACTTCGGTCTTTCCCTTTAAGATAGTGTACTCATTTCCCATTAGGATTCCATGCAGGGAAGATTGAACCAAGGAGTCTTAGGAAACATAACCAGAACATCTTCATTTCTAACTAGCAAGCCCAGGTGGTTATTACTGGATTATCACTCTGTCTCCACCAAAAAAGATACATCTGAGAAAATGGCAATAAAAACATACTTTTGTATTTTTCCAGGAAGATCGTTTTTTTAAAAAAGGCATTGAGAAAGGTGCTTTAGAGCAGGCACTCTTGCTATCATCCTGTCTCCACAGCTACTGAGAAAGAATATCCAATCATCATCATTATGATTTGAGATAGAGTCTTGCTCTGTTACCCAGGCTGGAGTGCAGTGGTGTAATCATAGCTCACTGTAACCTTGAACTCAAGGGATCTTCCCACCTCAGCCTCCTGAATAGCTAGGACTATAGTCATGCACCACCAGTCCAGCTAACTTTTTGTGGTATTTTTTTGGTAGAGATGAGGTCACACTATGTTGCCTAGGCTGGTCTTGAACCCCTGGCTTCAAGCGATCCTCCTGCCTTGGCCTCCCAAAGTGCTGGGATTATAGGCATGAAACACTGCACCGAGCCAGAATATCCAATTATTACTGGTGAGAAGAAAGTATTCCAAAGTTCATCTACTAGTAGAAAATCTTGGTTGTCTGGGAAATTTTAAGTTTATTTAAAACGAACTTCATGCTCACAAACACATAGGCACATTCTAAACAGATAATAGGAAATAACTTTTAAATTATTCTTAATTTGTTAATGACATGCATGACCATTTAGTATGTAGATTGTGTTCATGGCAATTACTTGTATTCTTAGAATGCCAGTTTTTGCTTCATGCAACCTTTTATACTAGAGCAGTGGTTCTCAGCCAGGGACATTTTTGCCCCCTGGGGACATCTGGCAATATCTGGAGATATTTTTGGTTGTTACAGCTGGGGAGGGGTTACTAACTGGCATCTAGCAGGCAGTGGCCAGGGATGCTGCTAAACATTCTACAACGTACAGGACAGCTCCTTCCCACAACCCTCAACAAAGTATTAGGTGGCCCAAGATATTTTTTTCTTTTTTTTTTTTTGAGGACAGAGTCTCGTTCTTGCCACCCAGGCTGGAGGACAGTAGTGTGATCTCAGCTCACTGCAGCCTCCACCTCCCGGGTTCAAGCGATTCTTCTGCCTCAGCTGCCCGAGTAGCTGGGATTACAGGCACCTGCCACCAAGCCTGGCTAATTTTTGTATTTTTAGTAGAGATGGTGTTTCGCCATGCTGGCCAGGCTAAGGCCCAAAATATTAATAGTGCTAAGGATAAGAAACCCTGTACTAGAAGTTGTAAGTTTTTCATCCCCAATGGGCTAAATGTGATAAATAGATGTATTTTATTTTGCCCATACACTATTTCTATTCACTTTAAATTAGTTTGACAGCATGAAAGTTTCTGGCTTGATGAAAATGTGGTTGATGTAGTAATTCTGAGCCTATACTCTAGCAAGACTTGATACTTTCCAGTCTCTCTTGTCTCCTACTGTCTACACCTACCCTGCTGATGCATTTATTTTTCTGCACTAGCCCCACAGGCATTTGGGCTTGTGCTCTCTTTCTCTACCTATACTCTAAGTGCGAGGCACAGAGCAGGAACCCTCAACTTTAGGCTACGATCCCTCCTCCTGAGCCTCCCCACTTTGATTTCCTTGAACCATTCCTTGTTATCTGCTACTTTTTTTTTTTTTTTTTTTTGAAGACAGAGTCTTGCTCTGCTGCCCAGGCTGGAGTACAGTTGTGTGATCTTGGCTTCTTACAACCTCTGCCTCTCAGGTTCAAATGATTCTCCTGCCTCAGCCTCCTGAGTAGCTGGGATTAGAGGCATGTGTCATCACACCCAGCTAATTTTTGTATTTTTAGTAGAGACAGGGTTTTGCCATGTTGGCCAGGCTGGTCTCAAACTCCTGACCTCAGGTGATCTGCCCACCTTTGCCTCCCAAAGTGCTGGCATTACAGGTGTGAGCCACCACGACCGACTGTTACCTGGTACTCTTCTTTTCCCCCATCCTCTAGCAGTAGCCATGACTCAAAACCCAGGTTTTGCCTGCCTTGACTCAAACCCAAGTTAGCTGCTTAATATTTTTCAAAAGCAATAATTTTAAGTGTAGTGATTAAGCAAGTGATTGGAGATTTTCTGGTGATTGATGAGATAGCTCCTCCAGTACTTTCCTGGGGCTTGCAGGCTGTTCTAGAGATCCTTCTAAATCCTGCTCTGGATCTCTGATGCTGAATTTTGTAGTTTCTTGGATGCTGCAAAATAAATTAAAACATGAATTTTTTTTTTTTTTTTCACACAGGGTCTCACTCCGTCACCCAGGCTGGAGTGCAGTGGCATGATTTTGGCTCACTGCAGCCTGGACAGCCCGGCTCAAGCAATCTTCCCACCTCAGCTTCCCAAGTAGCTGGGATTACAGGCACACGCCACTGTGCCCAGCTAATTTTTTTTTTTTTACTTTCTGTAGAGACGGGTTTTGCCATGTTGCCCAGGCTGGTCTCGAACTCCTGGCTTCAAATGATCCACCCACTTCAGCCTCCCAAAGTGCTGGGATTACAGGCCTGAGCCACTGCGCCCAGTCTGAAAAAGGAAATCTTAAAGCACTGTGCAAGGTTTAAGAATGGTCTCAACATTATTATTATTTTATATGGGATGTAAAGGAAAATTTCTAGGGGTATAAAACTGAGATAGAAATTAGGGTAGGCACTACTAGGATTTTTTTATTTTTTATTTTTGAGACAGTCTCATTCTGTTGCCAGGCGCCAGGCTGGAGTGCAGTGGCACAATCTTGGCTCACGGCAATCTCCGCCTCTTGGGTTTAAGCAATTCTCCTGCCTCAGCTTCCCGAGTATCTGGGATTACAGCTGCGTGCCACCATGCCCAGCTAATTTTTGTATTTTTTAGTAGAGATGGGGTTTCACCATGTTGTCCAGGATTGTCATGATCTCTTGACCTCGTGATCTGCCTGCTTTGGCCTCCCAAAGTGCTGGGATTACAGATGTGAGCCAGCACTCCCAGCCAGGGGCTACTAGGATTTAAGATACAAAACAAGAATAATGGAGATAGATCTGTCTTTTCTCCCTTTGACTCAATATCAAAATGGGTTATGGAGAAGGTGATGCTAATAAGCTACCTTCAAGGAATGCTAGAAGAAGTTTTATAAGAAGTCAAAATATACGTGATTTTTCTTCAAAAATAAAGTAGTAATAGTTTCGGCTCATGGAATTGGAACTGGAATTGGAAAATGATCTGTTTCAAAATGGAAGAAAACTAAACATAATTTGTCAGATTTTATTCACAACTGCACCACTGTCTAAATTCAAATGTGTTACCTGGAGATCTCTGGATTAGTTATTAATATCATATAAATACAGGATTATGATATCAGAATACCAGTGGCTATTCTAAAGCTTCCTCCCAGTGGTATTACTGGGGATGACAATTTAGAGAGCTGCAAATGACAGCAACATCTCAGGTTACCTGGGAAGGTCCTTGACTTGGATCCCCTCCTCTTGTACAGCCCGGATGCCTTGCCCCTTGCTTCTCACAAAGTCTTCCTCCAGCCCAGCCTGCTTCAGGGCGTCTAGATACCATTGTTCTGCTTCTTTCTTGGCTAGATCCTGTGGGATGGAAATTAATCTGTTGTAGCTGTCTTATGAATTACCAGACAATTCTAAATTACTTAGTCAGCATTCTTACAATACTGCCACTACCACCACCACCACCCTTACTGTGGGGTACAGATATGCATGAAAATTACTTAACCCTTGTTTTCAAGCCTTAATGTATGTATAAATCACCTGTGGTCTTGTTAAAATGCAGATTTCTCATTTGGTAGGTGTCAGATGAGGCCTGTAATTTTATATTTCTAACACTCCCCAGAGATGCCAAACTGTTGATTTGGGAGCCACAATTTTGAAAAGCAATGACTGAAACTTTTGGGAGACAGATTTAAAAGGATGGACTAAAAACCTTCTAAGATTTTAAAGCAACAAACCATTATCAGGAATACTAAAATAAAATA